TTCCTCCTCATCCTCCTCCTGCTCCCTGCTCCTGTTCAACCTCCTCCGTCTCCCTTTCCTCCTCCTCCTCCTCCTCCTGCTCCTCCTCCCCTTCCCCCTCTTCCTCCTCCTCTTGCTCCTCCTCCTCCTCCTCCTCCTCCTCCTCATCATCATCATCATCATCATCATCATCATCACAATCATAATCATAATCATCATCATCATCATCATCATCATCATCACCATCATAATCATCATCATCATCATCATCATCATCATCATCATCATCGTCATCGTCATCGTCATCATCATCATAATCACCATCACCATCACCATCATCATCATCATCATCATCATCATCATCATCATCATCATCATCATCATCATGATCACCATCATCACCATCACCACCATCATCATCAGCATCATCATCATCATCATCACCATCACCACCATCATCATCAGCATCATCATCCCCCTCCTCGACCTCCTCCTCCTCCTCCTCCTCCTCGTCCTCCTCCTCTCGCGCGAATAAACGAGCGGTGCCCCTCTGGGCTTTCTAGGGCGACCTTTCAGGGCCGTTTTGTGGCCCTTCCGTGGCGTCCGAAATCATGTTCCCGGAGAGGCTTCTGGGAACGCGATTTCGGACGCTGCGGAAGAAGTTTCCCGATCATTTCTAGGCAGATCTTCTGGTCTCCGTCGTGGCTTTGTTGGGTGCCTTTTGGGGCCATCTCGGGCTGCCTTGGAGCTCTGATGGGCCCCTCTTGGGCCGTCTCGGGGCTCCCCAGGGGCGTCTGGACCACTGTGAAGACGAAGGAAGCGCATAGGCTGAATGCGTACGTTTTCAACAGGAATGGGCCGACACTGGCCTCTTGAAGGTCCTCTTGGGGCCCTCCTCGGCCCAGTCCAAGCCATCTCGAGCCCTCTCGGGGCATTCTTGGGCGTCTTGGGGCCTTCTTCGAATTCCCTGAGCCCATCTTGGGGGCCTCTTGGGCCGACCTTGGGGCCTCGCGGGCCGGCTGTGGGGGTTCGGCCGCCAACGGCTTTCACACTTCAGCGCCAGCGCCCGCGTCGCCGCCGCGTGGGCGCGGCGCAGGAGGAGGAGGAGGAGGAGGAGGAGGAGGAGGAGGAGGAGAATGAGGAGGAGGAGCACGGGTCGCCGAAACCCTTCGGAGAAATCCTCCACCTGGAGCCGACCTGAGCTCAAAGTGGCTCGGTGCACGCGGACAGCGTCGCCGCAGTGGCCGTCGCCGTTGCCGTTGTCGTCGTTCGCCGATCGGCGGCGTCAACCGTTGTCATCGTCGTCGATCGTCGTCGTCGTCGGTCGTCGCCGTCGACGACCGTCGTCGACGTCGTCAATCACCGTCGCCGATCACCGTCGGCGATCGTCGATCGCCCTCGAGCCCTCCCCCCCACTCCTCCTCCTCCTCCTCCTCCTCCTCCTCCTCACCTCCTCCTCCTCTCCTCTCCTCCTCCTCCTCCTCCTCCTCCTCCTCCTCCTCCTCCTCCTCCTCCTCCTCTTCCTCCTCCTCCTCCTCCTCCTCCTCCTCTGCCTCCTCTTCCACTTCCTCCTCCTCCTCCTCCGGAAATCACGTTCCCGGAGAGGCTTCCGGGGACAGGATTCCGAACGATGCGGAAAAGACTGCGCCCAGGGTGGCTCTGCGCACGTGGACAGCGTCGCCGCCGTCGGCGCGGCCGTCGTCGTCGTCGCCGTCGATCGTGGGTCGGCGGCGTCGACTGTTGTCATCGTCGTCGATCATCGTCGTCGTCGGTCGTCGACCGTCGCCGTCGTCTCGCCGTCGTCGTCTTCGTCGTCGTCGTCGTCGTCGTCAACCACCGCCGCTGGTTGTCCTCGCCGACCGTCGATCGCCCTCGAGCCTCCTCCTCTCTCCCCCCCTCCTCCCCGCCTCCTCCTCTTCCTCCGGGCATTTTTGAATGTCGTTTTAGGGCCCTTTTGGGGCCGTCCTGGGTCCTGGGGCCCTCTTGGGCGTCCTGGGAAACGGGAAATCATGTTCCTGGAGAAGCTTCTGGGAACATGATTTCGAACGAGACCCTCTTGGGCCTCCCTGAGGCCGTGTTGGGGGCCTCCTGGGACCGCTTTGGGGCCTCTTGGGCCGTCTTGGGGAGTTCCGTGAGCCCCACAGGATGACCATTTTGGGCCGTCTTGGGCCCTCTTGGGTCTCTCTTGGGCTGTCTTGGAGCTCCTCGGGGGCGTCTGGGGCACTGTGAAGACAAAGCAAGCGAGTATGATGAAAACGTACGTGCTACAAAAGGTTTAGGCCGATGTTTGCCTTTTGAAGGCCCTCTTGGGGCCCTCTTCAGCCACCTTCAAGCCTTGGGCGTTTTGGGGCCCTATTGGACCTCGCTGAGGCTGTCTTGTGGGCCTCTTGGGCTGTCTTTGGGGCCTCATGGGCCGTCTTGGGCGGGTTCGTGGACCACACAGGACGCCCGGAACAACCATGGGCGGGTTCGTCGACCCCATAGGACTCAATGGGCGGCCATGCCAACCGCTGGCACCACCCTACCTCCGCACCAGGGCCTACTCCGATATATATATATTTATATATATATATATATATATATAAACACACACATACACACATACATATATATATATATATATGTGTGTATATGTACATGTACATGTTTACGAATATTCACACATCCACATATGGGACGACCTGGTGCGTTATTGTTCCAAGTTTTCCAGGCGCTCAAAATGGATCTGGCACGAAAAACTGTCCACAGGATAAGGGGTCGGGACCTCTTGGGACGCACACTGAACAAGCACATCGTCTGGTGGCTGGTACTTGTGCCTTTCGCGGGAAAACAACAACAGGAACAAGGGCACGAAACCATACGGAATCCCACAGGAAGCTAATGATGAAGATGCACCAGGCCACCAGGCAAAAACGAAGGAACCAAACGCTGACGGGCTCCCATCGGCGCCGTGTCATGACGCCCTTCTTCCCGTCCCGAATTTCGGCGGCCGGCCCAACGGGAAGTCAGAGGGGACAGCGCGGGCCTTACGTCTACATCTACAGACAAGGCCAGCCGCTTCTAAGAAGCAGGGGTGCTTTTAAGAAGCCTTCCCCACTCCCCCTAACCCCCCTCTCCGCGTGGCCGAGATATCCGACCTGGGCCTCGGACCCGTATCCAGCCGTAGCAACGACGGGCGGGTGGCGACATGAGCACAAACCTACTCTGGATTGGACAATCATCGCCCCCACGTTGGATTCGCTGGGGGGGTTGGACGCGTGCTGTCGGAACGGGTGGAGGGGGAGTTGGAGGAAAAGGGGGAGGACGAGGAGGAGCAGGAGGAGGATGGAGGGGGGCGGGACTGGGCAGGCTCAATCAGAAGGTTAATCACACACCCCTTGATAAGCTCCCCATCCAGAGTACGGAGGTTGGCGGCGCCCACAAAAGGGTGTGGCCCCAACGAGGCGGCCTGTGAGCAGGCAGGGGGGCTTCTCAGAAGGTAGGGGCCCTCTCAGAAGGGCATGGCGGCCTGTAAGAGTCGGGGGCGCGCAAACATGGATTACCGACGCATGGATTTGGCGCGCGGTCGCCAATCGGGGGAGGTGCCCTCCCCCAAATGCGGCCGGTGCCGTCTCGCGATATCCCATGGAAACGGGACCCGTCGCTAATCCACGCCCCCTTGATCCATGTTTGCGATCGCCTGAGAAAAGGCTCCTCGAAGCCGTCGGGTCCTTCCAAGCAGGCCCCTGCCTTCGAAGAAGCCCCCCCCCTCACTCTCAGATGGCCGCCCCCCTCGCGCCGCCCTCTTGTGGACGCCGCCGGCGCCGCGGAGGAGGTCTGCGAAGATCTGTTGGATCGGCGCCAGATCGGGCAGCGACAGAGGCGCCGCCAAGGAGGCTGGGCGCCGATCCACGCTGACTGGGTGGGCATCCGCAAGTTTATGTCGATACCGCTGCTGACGGCCGCCGATTCGCTGCTCGTCGTCGTCGCCGTGCGCTGCATTCAGCAAGCGGGTCCGCGTTGAGCAAACGGGTCCTGAGGGAAACTGAGCATTGCCTGCGCCGCCGACCCACATCCCCACTGGCATGGCCTCGGCCCCGCTGGCCGATCCACCCCCCTGGCCCGGGATGCCTGCCTGTGTCCCTCGGGTTTGGCGGGGCCCATTCCCACCACGGAGGCGGTCTGGTGGGAGGGAGTTCTTTCTGACGCGGACCTGGGGAGCGCGCGGGTCCGCCAAGCGGCTCAGAAGCGCTGATCAGCGAAGCGCAGGTAGAAACATGAAGTAGGGAGGCGTTGGAAGTAGATCAAGTTCCATCCACCCGTTTGGGAGGACGGAAAGGTGAAGCCACTCGATCATTGAAGTAGGAAGGAACTCAAAGTATAATAGAATATTGGAATCCGCAAGTACCTACTTTCAACGACCGATGGGTAAGCCTGGCAAGACAACAATGGCAGGGCGGCCAAGGAGCGGAGGAGCGAAGGGGGGTGGGGGGGCAAACTGCAATCGTCGGCAGGCAGCGGCCCAGGCGCGAACCAATCGCAGGCGGAGGGGCGCCTGACCGCTTCGGAAGAGGCACATAGAAGTCGAGGGAACACACCCAGATTGACAAAAACGTGGTCGGAGATGTGGGTCGTCGGGTCGCAGCTCGGTTCCCCACTGGGACGATCCTGGCACCCCCGGATCGCCCTCGGCGAAGCGCAGCTGCTGGAACGCATCAGAACGCTGGAAGCCTTCGGGAACCGACGAAAACGCGTCACGCATCGTCGAAGATCTGCCTCACGGTGACCGCTCTCCTGGGGACTCCGAAAGGTGTGGTTTGCAAAGGGTGTGGTTAGCAGCGCGCGCCTCGGGAGGGAGGCGGGCGAGGACCTCGACAGAGATCGGCGCCGCGCCCCGACGAGGTCTCATCAAACCTTCGGCGCAACGTGGCAACCACCCAAAACCCAACGGCGCCTGCGCAACCACACCTGTTGCAGTCGCCGATCGTCGCCGCCGCCGCTCGTCGGTGGCCGCCGCTCGTCGATGGCCAGTCGGCGGGCTCCCGCTGGTAGTGCGGGCGGCCCTGTAGCTCTTGGCGGCGGATGCCCTTCACGTCCCTGGCCATCTCGTTGCCCTGCAGCACCAGCGGCCTGCGTCCCCCGTTTCCTCGCCCTCCTCCCCCTCCCCCTCCTCTTCTTCATCGTCCTTTTGTTCCTCCTAGTTTCCTCCTCCTCCTCCTGCGTCTCCTCCTGCGTCTCCTCCTCCTCCGCCTCCGCCTCCTCCTTTTCCTTCTTATCCTCCTCTTCCTCTTCTTCCTCCTCCTCCTCCGTCTCTTGTTCCTCTTCCTCCTCCCCCAGCTCTTCCAGCTCCTCCTCCTCCTCCTCATCATCCTCCTCCTCTTTCTCCTTATCCTCACCTTCATCCGAATCCTCATCCCAGCATTTTGCCAACTAGTCCCCAATACCATCAGGATTGCGATTCGTAGGCAATGGATTTTGACGTTCGTGTGGTTCATACTGTACTGGAATTTCGCCCAATAAAAGTCCAAGTTGTAATCTGGAGACGTAGACCTCGCCGGCATTGCTGTAGTGTCTCGAGAACACGCTTACATATATATATATATAGAAGTTCAAGAATAATCATAATACAAATCATAAAAAGGCGCGTGAGCGCAAGGGTGTCCGACCGAGGGCGAAGGCGGGCGCGCGCGCGCGACTTGCCATTGCGAGTCACGAGTAACTGCGATGCGTATCGCGCATCACACATGTGTAAACCAATGCGTTGTACGCGGCGCCGCCAACCCTCTATTGGAGGGAATAGGCGGCGCAGGAGAACATGGTGAGGGGAACGTTAGTAATGACTCCCCCCGCGGCCGTCACTGCGCAGGGCCTCAGCGCATAGACGGACGTCAGCACATGGCCTAACGCACGGCGCGAAGGCTGATTAAGCGGGGAGAGCGTTCAGCTTTTTCAGCAGGTCCCGTAGATGACGGTTTTCGCCCCATTGCCGACATTGGAAGGGTATCTTCGCGCCGCGCCACAGTCTTCCAGGACACTCGTCGCACTGTGACAAGACGTCCCCCCTCATGTGCTGGACGCTCGTTACATAGTGACGGGGCGCCTCCCTCAACGCCAAAAATCACGACAATCCCCATCATGGCCCCAACGGTTGCCCCAGCCCTGCCAGTTCCGCGAGCTGCCAATGCCGCACGACGAGCCACTCCTCGACGTCCGTGAAGCGCCCTCCTACTGGCCCCGACGGGGGCCGCGGCGCGCCGGACACACGAGACAGGTGTGTGTCTGTGTGTGTGTGTCAACTGCAGATGGCATGCCTGGTGCAAAAAGTGGCGGCTCGGCAGGCGTGCCACCCTTTCGCCATGCTGGAAGGCCCCGAGGCGGATCGGATAGCCCCGATCATCGGTGGTGAAGCAGCAACTGCGGGGGGCTCGGCATGCGCTGCGGCCGGCACAAGAATAATTTGAATTAACAAGGGTTTCGGTCCAACTCCGTGCGGCCCCTGCTACTCAGGAGCCAGCTGCGTGCCGTGGAGCTCGTCGAGATGACGTCATTGTGCGCGGTCGCGGGTGGTGCGCGTGTCGTGCTCGTCTCGGCCGCCGCTGGACATCCGGGCATCGCGGCCGGCGAGCCACCTGGCCACTCTCCCAGGCGGTTGGCTCCTGGGGAGACTCTGGCACTGGCGGCGACGCAGCTACCGGCGCGAACTGCGGTGGCCGCGTGGGCTCGATCTATGCTGGGCGTGGAGGTCGCCTGCCGAGTCGCGCCGCTGAGTTTGTCCTGGTGGGAACCTCCGCCCACTAGTGGCCACCGCTGCGTCGGTTGCAACGGTGCCGGGTCGCAAATGACGCAGTTCGGCGTCGCGAGGAACAGAGAGGGACGCGGAAGAAGATGATGCGCCAAACCAACTCGACCAATGGCTGCGCCCCGGCCGCGGCGCCACTGATGCTCGAGCGGGCCGTCCGCAGCGCCAGGGGCCAGCGCCGCGCGCGGGATTGCCTTCCCCGCCGCCCGGCGCCACGCGCGGGACCGCGCGCGATCCTGAAGGGGCTGCTGCTCGGATAGACCCGGCGGAGCCCGCGGCCCCGGATGCGCGAGCGGCGAGGGCGCCCGCGGCGATGGAGGCGCTGGGGCGGAGGCGCCAAGGAAAAGAGCGCGCCCGCGGTTGTGGCGCCGGGGGCGTCGCGCACGAGGCGCCCCTCAGAATCGCGCTCGCGGCATTTGAGACGCGCCCCGCCGAAGCCAGCGGGCTTGCCTCGACGGTCCGGGCCCGCGCCTCGGGCCCTGAAAACCCTGCGTCTGCGCCCTTGCCACCCCCGCGTCCCGCGACATCTCCCCGGGGGCCGTTCTCGAACATGTTTGCCGCGGCGGCGCGGTGGCCATTGCTGCGGCCGCTGTCCTGTCGTCGGATGGTCCTCTGGGCGCGGCGCGTGGGCTTGCGATTGTTGAGGCTGCGCCAACGTGCTTGTGCGCTGCTTTGGCGCGCTCGTGGTCTCGGAAGAGATGCGCGCCGCGTTGTTCCACGGGGGCGTCGCGTTGCTCGGGGTCGCCCGTGGCAGTGTCTTCGCCAAGCGAGCCGACGGCGTCGGCGTCGGCGCCTGAGTCTACGCTCAACGCCTGCGCCAGCGGCGCCCGCCGGGCGGGCGGCGCCGCGCCGGCGCGCGGGGCGCGCGAGGCCACGCCACAACTTCACGTTCTCCTCGGACGTCCGCGCCCGACCCGAACACTTTGCATTGCCATACTGTAGCACGTAGTTCCCCGATCGGCATGTCCAGAAAGCGCCCGCCAGGGAGCTCGCGCCAATCGGTTTCTCGGCGCGCACATCGCCCCTAGACTCGCGCGGAAGCGCCCGCGAGGTAGGCGCGCTGTTGCGCGGATGGGAAAGCCGAGGCGAGTCTGCCTCGCCGTCTCTCGACACTGCGCCCAAGCCGCCGCAGCTGGCTCGTCGCGCGCGCGAGCTGCTTGGCGTTCGCGGGGTAAGCCATGTCACGAAGCTGCAAGATCAAGGTCAACTGGATGTTCGTAGCGCCGACGGCGCGCAGCCGGAGGAAGCTGGGTCGCTGTCTTCGCCGATCGCGAGATGGCCAAATCTCTGCACCTGGGTGCGAAGGATGTCGCTTCACGCCAGGAGGTTGTCGACGCGGTCTTGCGACAATTTGTTGAAGCTCATGAATGCAAGCGCTGCGAAAATCCGCCCGTCTTCGCTCAGTTGGCCTCTCCATTCGGCCATGCTGCGCGCGAGGGGGGTCGTCGGTGGCACTGGGTTGCCGTCGATCGTCGATGAGATCTCCCTGGATCAGAACAACTCGCGGCCATGCGTCCACGCACTCGCACGCCATACCGGCGAGGCGTGACGAGACGTCCGCCGCCTGGCCAAACTCGTTGAGATCTGAGTTCGCCACTGTCCAGATCATCGCCTCCCTCGCCCATTGCTGGAAAAACACGCGAGCTTGTTGCTCCGGCCCCTGGGTGCGGAAGTGTCGCGTTCTGCCGCTGACTCCGCGTGCGCCCATGCAGGAGATGCACCTGGGGATGTCAATCATGCCCACCCCGATGGCCTTCCATCCGGGGTGTAGCTCCCTCCGCGTGTCGTGGAAGTGCTGGAGGCCAGGGATCCACCAGAGTCGCTGCTCGGGATGTGTGCCGACGAGGCGCCGTGGACACCTGCCCCACATGTGTTTGACATCGTTTGCGTATAGTGTGCATGCTTCTGGCGCGTGCTTGTGACGCTCAAAATACTTACGGCATCCCGCGACAAAACCACGGGAATGCCCCTCGTACGTCGAGTTGTTACAGCGCTGGACACAGCCAACTGCGCAACCGTCGACTGGGGTGCGCATCGGGACCCAGTCCTGCCAAGGCTGCAGGGACTGAGTAGGCAAGGGCAAAAGTCGTGCACCAAAAACATCATTATATCCCCCCCAGGTTCCGATTCGCCGCCGATGGGACCGCAAGCGACACAGTCGCCAGGGACGTCATTGCTTCCCCGATATTCTCTGCTTGCTCCTCCCAGAGATATCGCGACACAGTGACCAGAAACACGGCACCTTTCTAACTGACACCGTAAATGCGAACGTTGTGTCGAGCAGCTGTCTGACATGTGCGTCTGCACCCAACGGCGGGTGCATTTACAGCGAGGGGCTCGCAAGCTGCGATGACACCGCGAACGCGATCCCAAGAAGGATCTCTGAACATGCTTGCGTTTCCCGTCGCAGGTCCTGGCGGATTGGCGGGCACCCCGACGGAACCGAGGGTGAACACGTTTCCTGCCGCGGCGAGAGGGGAGAGGTGCATGATCACGGATGTCCAGGGAGATGGCCACCTGGATGTAAATCAGCATAGTGTAGGGCGGCGGGAGATGGAGCATGCGCTGTCAGAGCGAGGCAAGAATGGCAACCCATTGCGGCCGTGGGGCTGGGAGCCGATTCCCCGTTACCAACTAGCGCGGAACGGCTCTGATAGTCGATGTGAAACGGATGTAAAACAAGCCTGAGAGCGGGCGCGGTCGGGCTGCAAGCAGCAGCGGCAGCCAAGGGTGAGAACTGGCAGGGTGGATACGTTTCGCGTGCGCGGGGGAGGAGGGAAGAGGGGGAGGAACACGAAAGGAGATGAGGGGACGTGTGACGGGTGTGCCCAAACGGTAAAATGATGCGGAGAACAGGGACACGGAAGGAGAGGAGGAGGAGGAGGAGGAGGAGGAGGAGGAGGAGGAGGAGGAGGAGGAGGAGGAGGAGGAGGAGGAGGAGGAGAGGAGAAGGAGGAGGAGGAGGAGGAGGAGGAAGAGGAGAGAGGGGACGGACGCGTGGCGCTGTCTCTTCAAAACGAAGCCACAGGATGGCTGGGAACAGTACGCGGAAGAGGCCATGAGGCCTCACCTGCGTTACCGGGGATGAAGAACAAAATTAACTAATAAGCTGTAGACCGATCGGATGAAAGAGAGTGAGGGAGAGCTCTGGCGGCGCGCACAAGTGGGTAGGGGGAGGGGGCAAGACTCCTGACAGCGAGGCTGCTTTTTAGAAGACGCTGGATTTACATCTGCAGACAAGGCCCGCGCTCTGTACGAGGCGCATCCTTCCAAAAAGTCATCCCCCTCCCCTACCCCCCCATTCTGCAAGTGCCAGGGGGGCGAGAGAACGAGCGAGCGAGAGAGAGAGAGAGAGAAAGAACAAAAAGGAGGGTGCTGCCTCCGCTGCTGCGCGGTGGCCGCCGTGACCGGATCCACGTGCGGTAGGCAGTTGTGGCCGTGGCTCCACTGGGCGTTCCGAACCGCCTGCCCAACCGAAGGAGGATCGGGCGTTGGCAGAACTGGGTTTAATGGAACCTGGTTTAGTGATTTGTACTGGGGGCGCCCCTCCGTCCCATTTCCACTAACTGGAGCTGCCGTCACCCGAAAAACACCAGTTACGGCAAACCTGCTTTAGTGAATCTGGCCAATCGAGGGGCCCCAGTGCCCTACCACTAATCGGGTCCCCTTACCCGGGGTCCTGGCTATATCCGAGAGGAGGAGGAGGAGGAGGAGGAGGAGGAGGAGGAGGACATCCGCGTCAGGGGGTATAAAGGAGGAGGAGGAGGATAAGGAGAAGGAGGGGCTCTGCTAAACCCTAAAAGGCTTTAATGTGGGAGATCGCTGGCAACATCGGGAAGAATGGGGCCAGCCCGGGTCGGAAGTCCCCGTGAGCTTCTCGGCGGAAAGGCTATGGCTGTTTCGTGTCGTGACGCCACCGGCGCTGATTCTTTGAACACATTGTAAAATCACCAGACACCCCAACCGAGAAATGATCGGCGCCAAATGCTTTCGTACCGGCAAGGTCGCGCCAGTACCAAGAGAGCACGTGAGCTGGGAACACTGACTTTCGGAAGCCGGGCAAGGGCTGCGATGCGAAATCCGTGGCTGCTAAAATCGACCTTCGGGAAATTGTCTTCGTCCTTCCGGGAAGAAACCCTTTGACAGTTTCGCGTGCCGCGCCTCATTCCGGGAAGTGGTTTTTGTTCCTCCCGGGAGGGCCGTTTTAGCAGCCACGGTTTTAGCAGCCTTCGCCCAGCTTTCTAGATACGCTGCGTGGACATTACCATGCAGGCGCTTGGGCAACCTGCCGCGCCCTCGGGCAGCGACGAACGCGGGCGGCAGTGGTGCCCACTCGCTCGGCCACCCCGTGCACGTGCGCCCGGCGCGCAGTCGGGCGCAGCGCTCTTCGCGCAGCTTCGGATGGGCATGGGTCGAGCCTGCATGGGCCGAACCTGCATTGCGCAGACCAGAACAATCAGGGCTCCGTTTTTCGTCTCCGAGACAGATCGGCGCCGCCGCGCAAAACAATTATCAATTGCATTGTGTGTTGACCGCACCACCCGCCTCTGTTCCCACCGAAATCCACATTGGACACAGTGGGCTCCCAGGCTCTTCCGAAGGGCCTTCACAACAGCCCAAGATTCCATCAAGAAAGCATGGGAATTGTCCGAGAGGCGCCCAGTAGAGTCTAGTAAACCCCGTGGACGGCTGAGGACGTCCCCGACAGTCTCCGAACACGGCCTCTGAAAACCTACAAGAAATCTCCAAGACAGCCAAGGAGGCCCCGAAGAGGGCTCAGAATCGTTAAGTTGCTGGGTATTTGCAAGTGACGGCGCCAACGTGCAAAAAACTCTGGGGAACCGCAGTGGGCGTGACCATCTTTGGCCTCCAGGAGGACCGCGAATGACCAAAGCGTTCCGGCATCGCCCTTCCTCGGTTCCCAACAAACGTTGAAACCACCCAGGGGGCACCCAAATCGTAACCACGAGGCCATCAAGACAGCCCGCCTGGCTACCAACACAGCCCTAGATGCGCCCAGCAGCGCCCTAGATGGTCAAGGGCCTCACTTGAACGGCCAAGGATCCCCCCCTCAGAGCCCCCCAGAGCAGAGCGGCCCCCCGAAGGATCCCAAAACGACTCAGAAGGCTCCGGAGGCTGCCCCAACGCTCACTGCTGGCTTCTGCGACAGACAGCGCCTGCTCATCAGACCATTGTGAAGCATATTGCCCATCGGACGTAAGAATTAGGTAGAAACATGAAATAGGAAGGCGTTGAACATAGATTGGGTGCCAGCCCGTCCCCTAAAGAGGACGGAAAAGGTGCAGCCACTCGATCACTGGAGTAGAAAGGCGCTCAAACTATGTTGGAATATGGGAATCCAAAAACACCTGCTCTCAACGACCGATGGGTAAGAGATGTTCCACCATCGCTCCCCCCTAGCGCCCACGAATTCCGCGAGGCGGCCCAGAAGACCCCCAGAGAGCCTCCAAATGGCCTTCAAGACGCGATCACAAGGGGGTCACCTGGACGACCCACGAGGTGCCCAATGCGCCCCTAGGAGTCCAGAGCGTTCCTTATCCTCCTCTTCCTCCTCCTCCGCCTCCTTCTCGTCCTCCTGGCTCAAGCCGTTCTGGCACCAGCCTACCGTGGGCAGGTGGCGCCTGCTTCCATCTTTTCGGCCTACCGTAGGCAGGTGGCGCCTGCTTTCTCGCCAATCAGTTTCTCACCCCAGGTCAGCAGCCCAACCTGGGGCCTCCCTCGTTCCATCAGACATGGGCGGCCAGCGACCGCGAAACCGAGGCAGAGGAGACGGACGCAAGTACCTCTGCTGCCAATCTGGTGGATGCAAAAGATGGACATGGGCGGACAAGCCGTTCAAGTATTGTGGTCAGTGTGGCTTAGCCTTCATAGGACGAAAGACAGGACAACCTGGCCCGTCCCCTCAGTCACAGACCACATCAGGCGGCACTCCCAACAGGTGGCGCAGGCGCTCGTCCAGCCCAGCGCCGAAGTGTCACCAAAAAAGAGCTGCAGCAGTACGTGAACCCGATGAGCCAGATCGTGACCCAGTTGCTGTGTGTGCGGCAACTGTGCAGTTCTGGAAGAATATGGAAGGCATCAAAGGGGGTCACTACCTGCAGGCCGTGGAGGAATTGAAAGCAGTGAAAGCATCGACACTAGCAGCAAAACCATGGGACCAGCAGCGAAAGTCGCTGCACGACCAGTCGAAGCTGCAAAGAAGAAACTGCTCAGTGCCCAACAGACATGCGGCAAAACGTGTGAGGCCATGGTCACCTTGGCCAACGACTATACCAACCAGTGCAATCTCGTCGCTGACCTGTCAGCGGAGACGCAGCAGTTAGAGACCCAGCACAAGATGGCAGTGGAGCAGGCGTTGAAGGAGCACGTCAGCACCTCGGCCCCCTCGCTGGAGACGTACATCAACAGCCAGTTCCCACCTGGGCTCGCGCCGTCTGCGGAGGTGAAGCAGGCCGTCGTTCAGTTGCCGGCAAAGCTACATGACGGGTGGCAGGCAGCCCAGGCAACCCAGGCCAGCTCCCAGCAGGCCCAGACGGCGACCCAGGGGGCGGCGGACTCCCAGGCGGGTCCCGAGATGGGGGCCGCAGTCCCAATTGCAGCCGGCGCTGACCCGAGGGCCCCCTCGCAGGCCACCGCCACCTCATCAGGAGATGTCAGCCCCGAGCTGGCAGCCAGCCTGGACGTCGAGGCCGAGGCCATGCAGCTGGACCACGACGAGGCTGACAAGAGGAGCCAGGGCATGAAGCGCGTAGGCGAGGCGATCGACCAGGTTCTGAACATCAGCGGCCAGAACTCGGCGCTCACGCCCCAGCAGCAGATGGCCAACGCGGCGCTCCAGTCCAGCGCGAAGGCGCTCTGCCTGGCCAACAAGGGCAAAGGCGGCAAGGGGGCGGGCGGGGCGCCGTGTGGGTAACACGGCCAGGTTCGCCACTATCAATGGAAGCTGCTGTAGATCTATTCGGAAGCTTCTGAAGTCTCAAGCAGCTGAGACGGTGGACATCATCTGCTGTCAAGAACTTCGGGTATTGAAGGATGCGCTCCCGTTCATCGTACAGTGGTGTGAGCGAGGGGGTGGAACGCGATACTCTCTCCAGCCGTGCTCAGTGAGAAAGGGTACCCTGTCCAAGGAACAGGGATTTTGATTCGTGATGGGCACGACTATGGAGTATCTCGTGCGCCGTTGCCTGCAGGGGTGGTAGAGTCACGGTGCGCGGCAGTTTCGCTTGAGCTTCCTGGACATCGTCAAGTCGTACTAGTTTCACTTTACTTGGCCGACGGGGTGGGCCTCAACCAGTATAACTTAGAGCTCTTAGCAGGGGTTGCAATGATCCAGGACGCTGTGCGACAGCCACTCATCATTGCTGGGGATTTCAAAGCGTCGACGAGTAAGCTAATCGAGTCGAACTACCCGCTGAGAGCAGGCCTTATGATTTTGGCCCCGATAAAACCAACATGTAAGATGAAGAAGTCCGAGTCCATCATCGACTTCGTTCTCGCCTCGTCGCGTTACGACCAGGACCTCTCGAGGGCCACGGTTCTCGACGAGTACCCCATGGGCCCACATAGGCCCGCGCTGTTCCAGCTGCGCTGCGGGAAGCCCTATATGGTCCCAGTCTTGGAGAAGCCCCAACCATTTGCTACCTCCAGGCCCTACGGGCCAACCAACCATGTGCCGTCCTGGGGCCGTACGGAGGCTGCCTTGGATTTCCTGGACCAGGTTGTCGATCGTGAGTCTGGGGCCGAGGCCCGCTTGCTGGCCTTAGATTCGGCGTGCTAGTACTTCGCCTCGGACATGGCGAAGACGATCAGTATACGCACGGACACTCCGATCAAGTCGCCCACGGCCCCGCGGGTGGGCCTCCCTAAGATCCGCTGGGCACCGGGAGCCGCTCGAGAGGTGGAACCCAGGGCCAGCTGGAGGAGTCTATCAATTCCGATTCGGTGAGTGAAAAACAAAGTTATGGATGTTATCCGTCGGGTTTATTCCAAGGGGGAGTTTTACCTTTCGGCGATTTTGACCAGCATCCAGTCGCCACCCCCAGAGCTCGAAGGCACCGAGGAGTTTGCCCGTTTGCTCGCCAGTGTTAGGACTGCTCCAGGCGCTGCTGCCCAAGACCAGGACAATGGCCAGATGGGCCCCAAGCTCGTGTTGAAGGTATTTGAAGAGCTCGATGATGCAGTTCATCACGCGCTCAAAGCTGAGGAGGCCAAGGACCGACAAAGTGAAACAGCGTCTTGGAACAACTGGGTCCAGGAGGCCGTGTCTCGGGGTGTTGGTTGGGCCCACCGCTGGACGTCAAAGCTCACATCCTGGCAACCTCAGAAAGTTTGGCGCCCCGAGCTGCAGACATTTTCAGGTCGGCCATCTGAGTTGCTCCAGACCGAGGCAACCCGCCTCGCAGGATTGTGGCAGGCCGCGCCGCGGGAGCAAAACTTTAACTTGC